CACTAAGATTTTTATGCTGACACTGCTTTTCAGGCTGTCCTAATTATCATGTTCTCAAATGTGACCTTCAGAATTTTTGTTCTATCTTTGCATTTTGTCCACAGCAACAAAAAGCTCGTTAAGCCCGCCGATAAGCCCAACGGCATGCGAAGGTCATCGGTGAGGTTCATATACCCTAGGACTGGTGTGTGCAGAGCTTACTGCCTATGTTCGAACATGAATGCATTATGCACTCCAATGTCATATGTGCACCCAAAGCTTCTCTGGAGGGATACAGATGCAATTTTAAATGCTCTCACAGTCAGCTTTGGATTTCTTATCCTTGACAACAAATGAATGCTGTGCCTCTGGTGCAATTGCCTCTGCCTTGCAGGAATAGCCATCTGGGCCATCATATCGGTTGTTGGCCCTCTGTGATAGGCAGTCACCTTAAAAGTCACTGTGGCGAAGTTGTAGCTATAAAGACTCCAACCACAAGGCGAGAACGCACCTTTCTCCTCTGTTCATTTTTTCTGCTGTATATCCACAAGACCAATGCTGATATGGTGCTTATGCAAAATATCTCGGCAGCTACCAAGTGCTCCTTGGTACCATACAGTCTACACTGCGCCATCAATCTTGAATGATCTATTCCACACTTGTGCACATCTGGGTGCTCTACAAGGCTGCAAAAAATGCAGGCCCATTGGACTAATTTGGGATTGACATGGTATTAGCGCTAAGCATTGTGGCTTTGGCCTTGCAGTTGTGGCCATCAGGATAGTTAATATTTGAACTCATCGGTCTCCCTTGACAGGTTATCTGTGCATGCAACTATACCGAGGACCATGACAGCAAGAACCTCAAGCACCATTTACTTACATGGGGAAAGAATCACCTTTCTTGAGCAAGTACTCTATAGCCTACTATGGTGCTTGGATGCAAACACTAATATGGTGCATCTATAGGTCACTTCTGCATTGTGAGTTTCCGAGCAGTTTTGTGCTGGATTGCATTCACTTACATACTTCTCAAGACCTTGCAAGATCATGCAGAGTGCAAGCCCCACAGTCTTGTTCAGGATGTGCACAGTGCTGCTACTACCACTGAGCGAATACTACATGAACTGGACAATAGTGCTCCCACTCTTTCCTTTTTACTTTATTATTTTGCGCGCGGTTGAGGAGAAAAACTACAAGCACAGCTCGGAACACTCCATCTCATGCTCATAACCAGTATCATGCTGTAACACTGCTAATACTACAGCTTAGTCAAGGGTAAAAGTCAATACAGCACTATTATTCACAACAATGGATAACTGATATGGGTCCCTGCAATACACAGGTCATGGAAGAAAGATTACGGCAGGCAATGCATGTGAGCTGGATTGTAACAAGACAAGAAATGGCTGTCCATTAGACTGCCAAGTCAGGCAGCTCGAGAATCCAATATCACTGGAGATCATAGATTGACCACGGCCTGTCAGATCATTCAGGCTAAGCTCCTCTAGGATGTAATGGAGCAAAATACATACCTAATTATTGAGTGGTGGGTGCTCAACGAGTTGCTGTGGTATTGGAGTGGTATTAAATTACATCATCAGTGATCTGTCCCAGTGCACAGTGCCTAACAAGCCAGCCTATAGTGTGGAGCCCCCTCCAGGTTGATCCTGTGGCCCCTCTGCAGCATGATCATCATCGCTGTCATCTTCACCATCTCATATTTGCTCTGACTGGCTGTGGTGCAAAGGCTCACTCATATTTCTGAGGAAATTTGAGGGCATCCTAAAATTCACAAAAAAGCGAGAGGAGCACTGCTTGCTCGAGCTGCTGCCATTGGAAGGGCTACTAAATTGACAGAGATTGAGCATGAAGTATTGCACCAGCACAGGGGGCTGTAAAGATACAGCACTTAGTTGAAAGATAACTCCACTATTAGGGCCTGGAGAATAATTACCATGTATTGCACAAAGTAGCTCGCATAGCCTTCCTGTAAAATGAAGGTCAGAACACCCCCAGATAGAATTGTATACAGGAAATAATCACTACAAAGACACTGCTTCTCGAACGTGTGAGGAGCTGTGAAATATTCATCACAAGAAGGGCACTCAAAGTGCATACATTAGGCGAGGCTGCTGTAAAGTATCATATACAACATCCAGCTCGCACAAAATATATAGCACTTATACCAATACTTCATGAGCTATGTGATGTACATATGAGCAAAAGTGGGAGCACAAACCATTTTGAAGCAGCACTGCAGAAGTACTAAACGGACTGAGTTTGAGCAGCCACATCTCTTGGAAGTGCTTGAATGACTTAGTTAGCTTCAGCACAAGGACAGCGGTATCAGAAGCTATCACAGTGCATTTTGCAAGATAGAGCACTGCATGGGTGTTAAGTCCATTGATGAAGAGTGCATAGTTGAGGATGCCATATGTACACCTAAGAAAAGCGGTTATCATATACTCAGGTTCAAGTGGTGCAATAGGCGAGCACATACTCTGTGCCCATATTTGATGGGATATTGAAAGAAGAAATACATCTGAGCCACTGTGGACCATCCACATGTGAAAATATGCTATATGTCTAAAAGCACTAATGAGGGTTAGTATGCGAAATTGCAGTCTGATAAAGACAGTGCACAATATTTACCCTGGCTGGAGCTGTTCCAAGCATGAATATGATTGCAAAAAAGGTGTATCTCAATTTTGACCCTTACCAGAGTGCATACACATGCAGAGCCAAGAACACTACACAGAAGATTGGTCTAATCACATGCAATCAATGATGAGTGTACTCAGGACTCATCTAATACCAGGCCCACATTTACAAAGTATGCCACAGCAGTCATTATATAAAGTACATTGCATCTTATAACAGGTATATTGAATGATCAGAGAATGTCATAAAGTATATGCCTGCAGATAGTGATGTGCAGGCCGGGCCTCAAAGCCCACGAGTCTGCCAAGCCCAGCCCAAAAAGCCTGACCCAAGCTAAGCCTGGCAGTGGGCTCAAGGCCAGGCTTGGAACGTAGTCAATCCCAAGCCCAGCCTAAAAGCCCAGGTTTGGGTGCACCAAATGTGTTGCCATTCCCTGGGCTCAAAACATGGTAAAAGCGACTTTATATACACATACGAGACAAAAGGTTGACTTATCAGGCTGGGCGGTCCCTGCTAGTGTGACTAGGCGCAATTGTGCACCATCGCCTGGCATTCACTGTAGGTGCCCCTTTGTGAACCTCATCATAACATGGCTTGTAGCGCAGTCACGTGCTCTCTGAAGGCTTCAGTACAGTGAGTACATGCAATAGCAGCCTATTACATACAAATACTTGTCCTAAGCTTTGCAAGCCTGGGCTTAAGCCTACGGCTTGGGCTGGGCTCAGGCTGGGCTTGGGCTCGCACATTACTACCTGCAGAATAAGATTGTGAAAGCTTGCTCCAATGCTTTGTAAGTCTCTATAGCGTCAACAGACTCACTGTGGTTGATCTCCAAGTACAGCTGCCAAGATTGGGCCCAGAACCGTGAACCATCAAGTGCTCAGTAGCAGCAGCAAGGTGATCATAAACTCTCTTCTCCACACCACAACGATCTCTTAACTGAACATCATGACAAATTCATATATTACAAAACCTGGAGTGGAAGAGTTTACTCAGCCTAATACTACGAGACTCAGCAATTTTGCAACTTACACACTAGCAATGTCAGCACATAGCTGTCCTCCAATCTAAATATGTATGGCAAATGTCAGTTGCAAAGTAGGTGGGTTTAGGGAGAGAAAATCTATAAAAAGATACCAGTACAGTCTCAGGCACTGGCAGAAGGTTTATATTTGACAGAGACATGCTGCCTATGACACGACCTATTCACTCTAACATTGATATTGCTGTGGAGAATGCTAGCGTTCAGTATTTGCCTGTAAGTTGGTTTGGCATACTAACAAGTGGGGCGGCAAGTAAAGAGAGATCTAATTTGCCCCATCGACATGCACTGAAAGTGCTGAGAGCCCTGATTAAGCTAATCAGGGCCCCTAGGGCTCTTCGGCACATCTGGGCAAGGGTTCGAGTCACGACCAACACATTTTATGCAATTTTGGCTTTTTCAATCTTGTATCAGCTAAGAGCGCATCTCTGAATGCACAGAATGGCCAAGAAATTTTGTTATAAATGGGTGGCTTGAAGTTTGGCTGTGGCCATCGATTTTTAGGTCTCACCACTGCATCAGGAAACACTGTTTGGTGCCGTAGTGGGAGCTTCACTACCAAAGCCTCTGAAGCATCCGAAGCTAGCGGCACACAGAGCTGCCCACTGCATAGCACAAGAAGTTGCAGTAGTGGCCTCGGAGTAGAGGCTCACCTTCTGTTTTCATTATAGCCACAATTACTCATTTTCTAGTAATATAATGATTCCTATAACCGACTAGCTAGTACTACAGTCATTTAGAAAGTTTGCACATGAGAATGAGACACTACTTTGTGCGGGCACTTGGAGCGATGCACGACTGTCCAAGTCTGTCAACACCAGCCCTAAACTGATGGCGCTATCAGTTCGTTGCATCTCAGTTCTTCTCCCCTTCTTAACTCTGCCCTGCGATGATGAGCGGGTGATATACTATGAGCAAAGTAAGTGTTCTGAGATTGAAGATGGGCTCTATCACTGACTACTTTTGATGTGACGCACTGCAGCCACACAGCTCTTCATTGTTGCCACAATGTGGTGGAGCGGTTGAGCAGTCACAACAGAAGTGGGAGGCTGTGCAGCACTGGGACAGAGGTGAAGGAAGAGTGGCAGATACCAGGTAGGTGGCCATGCAAAATGGGTAGGTAGTCATCCAGTGGAGGTAACAGTGGAGGTGCCAGGCTGGTGGGCAGGTTGGCAGGCACAATGACCAGCATCCTGTGTGGCTGCTTGGGAAATATGTGGGTGTGCCTGTCGTCAAACAGCAAGCATGAATACTAGCAAGAGGCTCAGTGGCGCATCATTGAGTGGTGAAAACGGGCCCGTGAGTGGCAGGAGAGCAAGTGGTAAGCATGGCTCGCACAGGTACTATGTACAAAGGCTCACCGGAGTTGGCACTGAGACCTATAGGCCATCGTCTCAATGCCGTCCAACCAGCGCAGCCCCTACTGATGGACGAGTTTGATCCTGCCTCTTGCGGTGAAATCTCCGGGTCCAATAGGCTTGCTGTCAGCCTTTGGATGGTGGATTATGTGCTGCAGATGGCAAGTGTCGGCTACTTGGGTGTGTACCTGCGCACGCACAAGCTGGGTGTATTGTACAACCTGCTCAAGCTGCTGGTGGGTGTCGCGGGCAGTGCGAGTGTGGCTAGCGCAAACATGAATACGAATTTCTATGCGGTGCTCACTGTAGTGGGGGCACCCGTGAGCGCGAATGGGAGCCGTATCCTTAACCTTGACATAGACAGCTTGCAAAGCAACTACAGTGCCGTGCATGTGGCTGCACCATTCATGACCAGGCAATGGCGCATGTGCGTGCGCTCGTACTTTTCAACTACATGAACGTGTCTGCCACCGGCACTGACTTTGTGTTGTCTGCGGCACTCTTCCCTGGAGTACCGCAGTCCAGCGCTGTCCTCGTGCGCTACTTCAGCGTGCCACATCCAGCTGTGTGCCCAAGGTGATACATACTAATGTAATGTTTGCCCATGCTCATTCAAGTGGTAGTACAAGACATTCTGTGTAAATACAGCTCTGTAAAATAGTCAATATGCCATTCAATATTAATGCTCTGATGATACTTGTAGGATGAGACAAGTGATTGGTGATCAATGCTACCATACCAAGTACAATATTGCTTACATGGGGCAAGCTACAATTATACCTCAGAGTTGCTATGAAAGTGCTCCTGAGGCTAGGGGTTATTACAAGAGTGCTTCTGGGGCAGGGACATGTTTGGTGCTTGCTACTGAAAGGGGGACCATTCTTCGACTACTTCGACCTCTACACCGGCTTCATAATACTATGTAGCAAAGTCATTTTTCCCTGATGTGAGAATGCTTGTGAAGCCGGCTGACACTGGACAGCCTGAAAGCCTTAGGCCTGAGACTCCCTGGTTAAAGTTAATCCACCTCAGGGCGCTTGCAGTTTTCCTGATGCCTATGGGCATAGTGAGTCTTATATACTGCAAGTACTCTATAGTGTGCTATATACGAAAGCGTACTGTACTTTTATGACTATACCAGATGAAAGTGCCCAAAATGAGTTTTTCAGACAACTCACCAAAATCGCCATAAATCGAGAGAATATTATTGGCAGTGTCCACGGAAAAGCAGTGTGACATGTGACATCCAGTACAGTTGTAAAAGTACAGTACCCCAGACACCTCACGGTGTTGAAGTCTGGCGCGCAAAGGCGCTCAGCTTGTCGCCATCGAGGATCCAGGGCATAAAGATGAACTAACGCCTATAGAGACCCGTGACAGATGCAAGTTGGATCGCAGTACCGCAATTGTTTGGCAGTACGTAGTACAGTACATGTTGACAAATAATCCAATCTTTCCGAAGATGTAATTCCAACTTCTTCTAGCCTTTGCCGAGATGAACAGATATAGGGAGATGTGAGGCGGTTCTAAGTGCAGGACAGATGCCCGATAGCCCATCCGTGCGATATCTTTCGATTCGCGCAATCCCCGCCCTTGCCAGGGGCCTTATAAGCCACCTCTGACCTGGTCGATGGTCTCATGTAGCTGTGGTGTTCTCCACTCGCCACGAGTGATAGATCGTGATAGTGGGTGCCGCACATGGATTACTGACAGAATCCTGTAGCCCATACAATGTAGTTATCACAAAGGCTAGCACGGTTACTTCATCCACTGAAGTCGCTGTGTACGTGTGTCCAAGCTGCGTGCACAGCCAAGACGAAGCTCTTTGAGAGGAAAAGGTGCAGCCCAATGGTGCATGTGTATCTTAATATTATGCATGGCCACTGCCTGCGGCACACCCTGGTACCAGTGGGCAGAAACCTTCCTACTCCACCTCCTGACAGATTTGTTGATGCTAGTCCCCAGGTATCCAGCCACTCTCAATTCAACAGTCCACAGCTTCTCTGCCTCCAGGAGCACTTCGCAATCTTCAACGTCGCACGGCAAAGCACTGCTCAGCTGTAAAATGTTGCACATCTGGAAGGACATCTGGAAAAGGTTACAATGGTGGCTATTTATAGAACACCAGCGAAGTTGTTCATAAAGAGTGTACAAGCAGTAGCTCACCTTGAACATAACTTGCACCCTCGCTTTCCAACGTTGACTAGTATGTCTGCACAGTCAGACCAAGCACTTGTCCAAGCCTACTTACACCTGTAAGTGGCGCTCCTGCTTGCGGGTTAGGGATCTAATACTCACATCTTCATCTCCTACATTAGCAAAATTACACCCCATGTTGGGGGATGTTACATGTTACGAAACAATGTTGTAGTTGCACGAGAATGTTAGACATGTGTTGATGTTGATCAACAGCTGGCAAGTCCGATGTCATGACAGCTTGTTAATAGACACCTGTCAGGTGCCTGAACCCGGCCTCGCCCGTAGCTGTTGATACATGAGAAGTTTGAAGTTTCCCACTCTTCCAACCACGACCACCACTCTCCTTGCCTCCCTCCGTGTTACAGCATCAGTTCCAGCTCATCTCTTACTTCCTTCACTTACTGATGTGGTGAACATAAAGATAATCAATGTCAGGTAGTACCTCAACACGGTTGCAGTCTTAATCCTAAGCTACAGCCTCAGCCGAAATACTTGGAGAAGTTGTGCATGGACAAGCCCTACGATGGCAAGATTTATGCAAACCGAGTGATAGAGAGGCTGCAGGAGTGGCAGCTAGATCTGCAGGAGAGGAGCCTGTCATCGTGGAACTACTTCAGCAGGTACATGATAAGTAATCGTGAAATTGTCGAGCCAACCGCTCCAGAATGTTGGCTGACTTCTCCACTAAAGTACAGACAATGCCCACCCTCGATGTGGTCAAAGAAAGACAGATAATCAGGTGTGTCATATATGCTACATTTAAGGCTGCGACCCTGCACCATGCTCTTGCTATCGGTAACGTGGGTGTTCTCAACAAAGGTTGAGAGGATGATCTGCCTATCGGCGCTCTAGTTCCCTTGGATCTTGCTGGTGTCTTGTCCTTTTCTGCTTGTGAGTCCTGCTTCTAACTATATTCTTTGGCGTTCCAGGTGGTGCATATACTATAAGTGTGGTCGACCAGGGCCTCTGCATAGTTTTGAGGTCGAGCCGATGGTTCTCTGCCGAGAACAGGAGTGGCGACAAGTGCTACATCAAGGGGTGTGACTCTGTCAACATTGTCCAAACTGCACATCTTGAGATATTGTCAGGAGGTTTACACCTGAGAATGGGGCTAACGCTGTTGACAACGTTGACTCACCACGAGGGTGTGGATGGTCAGGTCGCTGTCACGGAAGCAGAAAGCACACGGTCAGCTGTCCACTCCACTGCTGCTAGTGGGACTGTTTTCCACCTCGGTAGTTCCTGATAATCACATAACTTTGTCTGTGCTCAGTGTACATATATATACCAATGCCAAGTGTTTATTTCTTGAAATCTGATGTGAACATGGCGTGTTGGCAAGACTTTGTTCAATATTTGGGTAAGGTTACATAATATGTTATTGATGTTAGGTGCATGTTGATGATGTTGGACAATCTCAACGATGTTGGATAAGGATACGACATAGGTTATGCATAGTGATGTGTGGGCCCGGCTTGGGCTTGTGGCAATGTCGAGCCGAGCCCTGAGCCCGAGCCGAGCCTGAGCCCGGCCCAAGCCTTGGGCTTAAGCCCAGGCTTGCTCACAGTACAACAAGTATTCCGGTGCTATCAAATAGAATGTATTTGGGTGTAGTAGATTAATACTGCATGTAGTCACTAAATTATAACCTCCAGAAGATCTACACCTGCGGAACAAGTCGAGTCGCAGCGAAGTCCACGAGCGCGCGCCTATGGCAGGCACCAGACGGTGACGCACAATTGTGCTCGATGGGAGCCGTTACGTCTAGAATATCTACATTTTGTCTTCTATGTATATATTAGGTCGCTCTCTCCTTATTCTGAACTCAGGGAACAGTAACGGAGCCAGCACACCCAAGCCTGGGCTTCCAGGCCGGGCTTGGGCTTGACTACGCTCCGAGCCCGGCCTTGAGCACACTGCCAGGCTTGACTCGGGCCAGGCTTTTTAGGCCGGGCTTGCATCAGGAGACTGAAACAAGGCTGCGGATCAGTACACAGTGTACACACCGCTGGTACTTCCATAGCCTAGTCCCTGGTTCGTAGTGCTCGTACTTCCTTAACCAAGCTTCGTAGAACTCCGCACTTCTTGGTAACCAGACTGAACTTCTGCTGTAATTAATATGTAGCTTATGTTGTAATCCTCCGCACACCTCTCATTGATGGCTATGTAATGAAAAGCAATATATTTAAACAAGTCAAGGGCATTACATGGTGCGTATGGGGTACAGGGACTACAATAGCATGGAATAACCTGCCGTTGACCTAGATCCAATAAGACACTCAGGACTAACAGAGGTACTGAGGTACAAAACTGCGAAGGGAGTATGTCAATCAGGGTGCATATTGTCCGTATACAATGCGAGACTCATCTCTCAAGAGATGTACTACACGAAGAAAGTGCTGGGCAAGGCGTCAGTCTGCATTGCACTCGTCAAGGAGACAGGTAAGACTGTACAGGCATGCATGCCTGTGGTGGCACACCCG